TTTGCAGAGCTGAGACAATATCTCTTATCGCTAATCAGTGTCATTTTTGGAAAAGCACTAATATAAGTGTGTCAGTGCTGTTAAAAAAAAAAAAAAGAAGAAGAAGAAGAAGAAGAACAAAAAAACTATGAATGGCGGTGAGCTGAGATTGCACCACTTCACTCCAGCCTGGGTGACAGAGCAAGACTCTGTCTCAAAAAAAAAAAAAAATCTGAGCAAATAAAGGCAGATTTTCAATGTAAAAAAAAAAGCTATGAATATCTTAGTTAAATATTTTAGATGGGAATAGGCTCACAAGAAGTAAAGTAGAAATTGGTCAGTAGAATTGAACCCTGAACTCAGTCTTTAAAGAGAGTTTCAGCCAGGAGATAGAATTCTGATACCTGAGGTCAGGCAAGATATAGTTTCAGAACACTCTTCATCCTAAAGGTCAACATGTTGTAATGGAGTGTCCCACTAAAATGAGCCTAATAACTGGTGGCAGATTCCCCAGTGATGATAAGATATTATTACTATACTTTCCAGCAGTAATAATAATCACAAACCTTTAGCGAGTATCTTACTAATCTTAAACTGATAGCAGACAAGCTTTCTTCTAAGGCTTTTATGTGCATAATTTAAGTTAAAATTCATGATAACCTTGTGAGACAAGTACTGCTATAATCCAAATTTGTGGAAGCATAAAGACATTAAATAACTTGCCAAGGTCAAATAACTGGTGAGTAGAATAAGCAGGATTTGAACTCAAGTTCTTTTGTCCACAGTCACTATACTAACCAGGACTTATCCTAGGCACTTTATAGGGATAAAAATGAAAGAACAGAGATTAACTTACCAGAATGTGGTACAAGGAATAAGGCAGAAATTCACATATCAGACTTACAAATGTTTCTCCTGATGTAGATTAGGAAAAGTCTTAGACAAAGCTAATTAGGCACTGATGAAGGTAAGACACAATGACCAAGAACCATAGAAGTCTTAAGCCATATACGTCATAAAATGCCGAAGTCACTTCAGTGACTACCAATAAGTGCTGCAACTTTCAGAAATAGAGTATACAAACTTAAAACATTCAGCCAGCAGAACGAGTAAAAGAAAACCAGGAGTTTTCTCATCGAAGTCAAAAGTAAGGCACAAGTTACTACAATCACTCTCCTTAATTAACACTGTTTTGGAAGTATTAGCCAAAGCAAGTAGGCAAGAAAACAAAACAATATCCAAAAAAAAAAGTATGCATATAAGAAGCAGGGAGACATAGAATTTGTATCATATTAAGAAATTGTATGATTATATCCTCAAATCTGGTATATAATAATACAGTTTCTTATGACACAAATTCTGTATCTCCCTGCTTCTTATATGAGTACCACCCAAGGCTACCTAATTTCAACATCTCATTTATCTCTGACCCTGTATTTGCAGAGTCTGAGGTGGTCCTTAGTTGACCTGTACTAAAGCAGCCATGCACATGCTTTGTGATAAGTAGGAGTGATCCCTGGTCTCCAGCCAGCCTAAATAAAAAGAATATGTTGTATAGTCAGTCTCTAATCTAAAGGAAATATAATTACATCTGAAAAGGCAATCTGTCATTTGAGTAGCTCATTTATCAAAACAATATTTGCTAAAAGCAATTCATCCTTTACCATATCACCCAAAAGAAATTGTCCTGTTTCACTATTTACTTTTAATTACAGGCTTTAATATGCAAATGTAGAAACATGGGGAGCTTTATTAGTCCCATTTCTAGCTCAGAATTATGATATTCCTGAGTTTTATTCTAGTAATAATTCTAAAATTAGATTGCTTGATAATAATAATTAATGTTCCTTTCTTCTTAACACAGGTTAGTAATCTTAAACTGATGGCAGTCTAAATTAAGAGCTGCAGAGCATTGTAAATTTTGAAGCTGTCCCCAAGCAATCATACCAAACAAATCTAATCTTTCTTCCTCAGGATGGGATATTCCTTCCTCTTGACCTAGACCTTCCTTTTCCAGGATGCTGATTTGCACGGATAGCAGCCAGTTTTATTGCCTTAAGCCAGCCAGCAGAGGAGTGTGGGTAGAAGTGAACTGACCTCTTTCTACAGAGCATCCTGTACGTCAAACTATTGTACTCCAGTGTTTGTGTGTATGTGTGTGTGTGTGTGTGTGTCTGGGACTTGGTAATTGCCTGAGTTGAGAGAAAGCTTCTTTCATCCAACTACCTGCAGGTTACCAGCTGGAATAGCAGACAGAAGCCAAAAACTGAACTTACATCAGATCAAGAGAAGGAAAGAAAATGTTGGCACCCAGCTGATTAAAAGAGAAGAAGAGAAAAAACGCCTTTCAATGGACTCTGGAAAGAAAAATATATTCAAAACTCACCAAATGACTGAAATGGAAGGGTAACATTAGATTATTTTTAAAGAAACCACATTTTTGGTTATATGCTACATGTATTGAGGCATGTGTGTTTACAAATAGAAATATATTCCATTCTTCCCTGGTGTGAAAAGAATGCATAAGGCAAGCTTTGTGCATCTTCACAAGATAAAATTGCTGTCAACATGAGAATCTTAATCCAATGCCCCCTGCTGAACTTGGCACAAAATCACTGCTTCACGAGATCTGGCTTCCTGCCTGATACTGAGAAAGGGAAGGGCTGAGGCTAGGAGAGGTCAGGGTCACTACAGATAGGGTTCCACATAATATGCTATTAAACTTGGAAGGTGAGCCTCCACCTATGTGGAAAACATGGAGATTTTGAAGAATTGCAGTGTAAGGTTGTATATTGAAAAAAGCCTCTTTAGGCAGCAAGAGGCAATGATGACAGCAATAAACTTGGAGTTCAGGAATTTGAACCTGAGGTTTGGAGTTCAGGAATTTGAACCTGAGGTTGAGATCTACCATTCAGTAGCCTCTGGCTTTGGACAAATTATGTTATCTCCTTGGGTATATATTTCCTCCTATATATGGAGCATATGAAGAAGAATCCTGCCCTGTCTACTTCAGTGATTTTGTAAGGATTGCATGACAGGAAGTACAGAAAGGTATTTTTCAAATAAGAAAATATTGTATAAACATAAAATGCTGCTGCTGCTGCTACAGCTGTTATTATTATTATTGTTGCTACAAATTTACTAGCTTTCAAATTACTTTTCCTACACCCTCCATACTAATAATTTGTGGACTATATAGTAGACATTTCAATTAGAACTTGTCAATGGGCTAACATAAGTATTTGAGAATTTTACCCTCTGCAAAGGAGGTGTATAAGGTTTAGTCCTGGAGCTTTCAATAACTAAATGTATGACTTTAGCCATGATATAAATGAAAAATTTATAAAACGAGATTTTTATTTCTCTATAAAATGAGAATTTTAAATTAGAGAATTTCTAGAGTCCCTTCCAGTTTAAATATTCTCTGGTTCCTTCCTTCCCTTCCTTCTTTCCTTCCTTCCTTCTTCTTCTCTCTCTCTCTCTCTCTTTCTTTCTTTCTTTTGATGGAGCCTCACTCTGTCACCAGGCTGGAGTTCAGTGGCAGGATCTTGGCTCACTACAACATCCTCCTCCCAGGTTCAAGCGATTCTCCTGCTTCAGCCTCCCAAGTAGCTGGAATTACAGGCATGCACCAGCATGCCCAGCTGATTTCTGTATTTTTAGTAGATACCAGGTTTCACCATGTTGACTATGATGATCTTGATGTCTTGACCTCATGATGGGCCCTCCTCGGCCTTCCAGAGAGCTGGGATTCAGATGTGAGCCACTGCACCCAGCAAATATGCTCTGGTTTCTATACACTCTGTCCACATCACCTCCAATCCTGTGAAACTTGCCCTTGCTCTCACTGTCACTTTACTTCTGATCTCACATCTCTTCATGTTGTGGTCTAGAACCATGCTTTCTTTTTCATTTTCTCCCTTGTGTCTGACCTAAGGCTTAGATATTAGTCAAAGGATATATTTACTGCAAGAAGTATGAATCATAACAATGATATATTAGCAAATTCTCCCCAGAAGGCAATGAAAATCCTTCCGTGTATGTGTGCAGAAAGGGCTGGAGTTCACAGAGGTGGGTTCAGACAGAGAGCTGTGAAATGGTCAGGAATGCTTGAATATTTTTATTTTTTTAGAGACAAGGTCTGGTCTTGAACTCCTGAGCTCTATCTCAGCCTTTCAAAGTGCCGTGATTATAGGCTTGAGCCACTGCACTTGGTCAGTTCTTAGGCAAATATCTCATATAAATGTGTTTATTGCTTTATGCCTTCCTGTTTTTATCATATATAGTAGAAAGAACATCAGCTTTCATTTTGGCTCAGCCATTTTAGCTGGGGAGTCATTCAACTAGTTCATCTAACACATATTATTTATTAAAAAATATGTGCTGACCAATGCTCTAGGCATTGAAGCTATAATGATCGATACAAACAGATCCGGCTCCTGCCCTTATGGAGCTTACAGTCTAAATGGAATTACAGTCTTCAACTAAAGAATCACACAAATCAGTATAAGTTTATATCTGTGATAAGTGCTACAAAAAAGAATAGCAGTGTGCAGTTGGGGCTCAGAAAACAATACCCCACAATGAAGGCCTCAGCAGCAGCCTCAGAAGCAGAAGTTTCCATCTGACCTTCTGTTCTCCTGTCTCAGTCCCATTCTGCCCCACACCTGGCCATACAAACTAGAATCCCTCTTCCCCAAGATGGGTCATACAAAGCAGAACCTCCTTTCCCAAAAGCCAGCCAAAAATCTAAAATGTATTCTATAAAATAGAATCATTAATCAATGTGTCTCATGTAAGTAATTTTTTAGCAAAACTTTAGGAGTCCAAGGGCCTTGTCCCCCACCCCCGAGTGCTATAACAGTGACTAATACAGGGGGACTGGCCTGGTCAAGAGATACAGGGAAACCTGATCTACAGAGGAGGTGGCTGAACTGACATCTGAAAAGAAAGTAGGAGTCATCCAGGCAAAGAATAAATAGCGTGGGGAGGGGGACTCGATGCGGGCCAAGGGGCGGCTCCGGCCAGCGGATTCGGAGCGGGCGACGGAGTGACCCAGACAGCTGTCCTCTCTGACACCCCCCGGCCTGCCTCTCTGTGGGCATGAGAGCTGCCTACCTCTTCCTGCTATTCCTGCCTGCAGGCCCGCTGGTTCAGGGGCAGTATGACCTGGGCCTGCCGCCGCCATTCCCTGACCATGTCCAGTACACCCACTACGGCGACCAGATCGACAACCCAGACTACTATGATTATCAAGAGGTGAATTCTCAGCCTTCGGAGGAACAGTTCCAGTTCCCGTCCCAACAGCAAGTCCAACAGGAAGTCATAGCAGCCCCAACCCCAGAACCAGGAAATGGCAGAGCTGGAGCCCACGGAGCCCAGACCTCTGGACTGCGGTGTGGAGCAGTACCCGTGCACCCGCCTCTACTCCATACACAAGGCTTGCAAGCAGTGTCTGAACGAGGTCTGCTTCTACAGCCACCCCCGCGTGTATGTCATCAATAAGGAGATCTGTGTCCGCACAGTGTGTGCCCACGAGGAGCTCCTCCAAGCTGACCCCAAGTTCTCCAAATGTGGCGTCATGGTCAGCAGCGGCCTGTGTCAATCCGTGGCAGCCTCCTGCACCAGGAGCTGTGGGCCTGCTAGGGTGGTGCTGGCATCCTGAGTCCTGGCCCTCCTGGGATCCGGGGCCCTCGGGCCCTGCCTGACCTGGTGCTTTCTTCCCCATCCCCATGTTCATTTCATTCTGTAAAAGTTAGTGGAATGCAGCCGTGGGGGTTGTAGGCTGCGGTGCAGGCTCCTCCTTCGGCCTGTGGCCACCTCTGGGGCACAATGGGGGCTCCCCACTGCCCAGTCTCTGCCCCTTGGGTTGGGGGGCATCCCAGGCCTCTCCATGGGACCTGGGTCCCTGACAGGCCTCAGCCTGTTTTGATGACAGACAGTCCCCTATTCAGTCCCCCAGGTAGGCTGTGTCCCCGCACCCCAGCTGGTCTGCTTGGATTTCCTACAGCCCCCCTGGGCATGGACCACCTTTATTTTACACAAAATTAAAAACAAGTTGTTACCAAAAAAAAAAAAAAAAGAATAAATAGGGTGGCAGAAAGGGTGTTCAGGTCAGAAGGAACAGCAAGTGCAAAATCCTATAGCAGTTTTGTTAAATAAACAAATGTCAGGGGGATTAGGGTGCAGAGCATGAGCAGACCATGTGAACTGAGGTGAGAGAGGCAGAATGATTACACCTGGCTTTGTGGACCATGTTAAAGATTCTAATCTTGCTGGGTGGCTCGTGCCTGTAATTTCAGCACTTTGGGAGGCTAAACTGGGCAGATTACGTGGTCAGGAGATCAAGACCATCCTGGCCAATATGGTAAAAACCCATCTCTTACTAAAAATATCAAAAAAGAAAAAAAAATAGCTGGGCATGGTGGCACATGCCTCTAATCTCAGCTACTTGGGAGGCCAAGGTAGGAGAATCACTTGAATCAGGGAGTCAGAGGTTGCAGTGAGCCGAGACCACACCACTGCACTCCACTCCAGCATGGCAACAGCAACAAAAATCCTGGTCCTTCCCTGAAGAGCAAAGGAAAGCCACTCGGATGTTATAAATTGATGGCAGCATAACCAAATTTGCATTCTGACCAGATCCTTTTGCTGTTATGTGAAGAATAAATTCAAGAAAGTCAAGGGTGGATTGCAAGAGACGAAGATCGGAGCTTAGGGGCAGGTTCTTGTGTTGCTTAATGCAGAAGAATACTCACACACAATTTTGGATGAGTTGCATCCCAGGCACTTTTGAGATCCAAATTAAGATATCAAGTAGGCAGCTGCATATATAAGTCTAAAGCTGAGAAGGGAAGTCAGGGCTTACATTAAAATTTTGAGCTAGAATTTATAAATAAACTGTGAGACATGGACCAGGATGAATCTAATGAGAGTGAAGAGGAAGAATAACTAATCTCAAAGCGTCTGTTTCTTCAGCTGTAAACTAGCAATTGTAGTAGCTGTTTCATAAAATTTTTGTAGCTGAGATGTAGAAGCATTCAAAAAAAATTCAGATATTTTTGTATTCATAGGGAAAAAAATTAAAAATAAGCCAATCACAAAGCAATTTATAGTATGATCCATTTTTTTATTTTAAAAAAAGTATCTTCAGGTGTAAAAAATATACTGAGCTACACTTACCACTTAGCAGTAATTATTGTCAGATTAGAGCAATTTAAATTTCTCCTTGTGTACTTCAGTAATTTATAAATTTTTTACAATGCACATGATTCTTTATATAGTAAAAAATACAATGTTTTGCTTTTTCAATTATATGAAAGTACTTTTCCAAGGGTTGAGCCAAAGATGATGAAATGAGCTGAAACTACAGCTTATGAGAATGGCCTGGGTTTAGCACACATGGTAGAGTGGCTTTGTTTGAAGCCTCCAGGTCTCTGTCATAGAGACCAAAGGGTGAACTTTTGGGAATTGAACCAAAGAAATGTTTTGGTTTAAAGTGACCTGTCTGGAATTGCATGACACACACGTCCTGAGAACCACTGGCTTTGCAAAAACTTTTGTATGTAATTCTCCACAAAGAATCACCACAACACACAGGCCCTTATAGTCCTGGAAAATCCATGCCCAATTGCCACACACACACACACACACACACACACACACACTGTTTTTACAACAAAGGCCAAAATCTGCTTGATTTCTCCTAACTAATCTGTAAATTTGTGATAAGCTTCATCCATATTTGCACGCTTAGGGTTAGAGTGCTGGCAGGGAATATGGCTCAGAGCTCTGAAAAACATGATGTCTGTCTCCCTGCTTGAGTTCCCTGGCCTTTGGCATAAGGCAGGAAAGGCTGGCATGCTGCTGCGTCAAGAATGCCTGGCTCATGGGGAGAGATGCTGTGCAGTGTGGTAGAAGGAGTTCAGAGCTCAGTTCTGAAAGTCAGGAAACCTAGATCCTGGCCCCAACTTTGTATCAGCTGAGCTGTGTGACAGTGGCCAAGTCCTGTGACCTCTCTTTGTTTTAGGTTTGCATTTGTTTTGTTTTTTTTATCCATAAAATAAAAAACATTCTCCACAGAAGATCTCATGAAATGCACAGGCTAACTCTAAGTGATGACCAGAGCAGAACTATAACACATGAATTTGAATGTTTTATACAGGTTCATAATGTCCCCTTACTAAAAATGCTACCTCCCACATCACTTAAATCACCACCTTCCAGCCATGTTCCTTTCAACCACCCCACCACCACTCCCAACATAATCCCTTACTCTACTTTCTATATAACCTTTTAACTATCAGAAATAATAGTTATTCCCAGAATAAAGAGCGCAAGTCTCATCTTGGCTCACCTACTAACTAAACTTAACAAAATCTCTGTGTACTTCAGCATCTACATTTATAAAATAGAGAAAGCAATAGTACTTACCTCACAGGAATGGAATAGACTTAAAACTGGTGTGAGGAGGGCCAGCCATGGTGGCTCATGCTTGTAATCCCAGCACTTTGGGAGGTCACGGTGGGTGGATCACCTCAGGTCAGGAATTTGAGACCGGCCTGGCCAACATGGTGAAATCTGTCTCTACTAAAAACATAAAAATAAGCTGGGTGTAGTGGCAGGTGCCTGCAATCCCAGCTACTCGGGAGGATGAGGCAGGAGAATCACTTGAACGCAGGAGGGGGAGGTTGCAGTGATCTGAGATTAGACCATTGCACTCCAGCCTGGATGACAAGAGCAAAACTCCATCTCATAAAAAAAGAAGGGGGGTGGTGAGGAGGTTTCTCAATGAAAAGGCATCATCATCAAGGATAGCAGATGATGTGGTTTAGCTGTGCCCCCACCCAAATCTCACCTTGAATTGTAGCTTCCATAATTCCCACATGTCATGGAAGGGACACTGTGGGAAGTAATTGAATCATGAGGGTGGGTTTTTCCCATGCTATTCTCGTGATAGTGAATAAGTCTCATGGGATCTGACGTTTTATAAAAGGGAGTTCCCCTGCACAAACTTTCTCTTGCCTGCCACCATGTAGGATGTGACTTTGCTCCTCATTCACCTTTCACCATGATGGTGAAGCCTTCCCAGCCATGTGGAACTGTAAGCCAATTAAACCTCTTTCCTTTATAAATTACTCAGTCTTGGATAGGACTTTATTAGCAGCATGAGAACAGACAAAAACAGCAGAATATGCCACTTTGGCATAAGGATTATTTTGAACTGTAGGCAATTGAGAAGAAAGAGTTACAAGAAAAGCTCTCTGTGTACGTACCCTGGTGTGCCTAGAAGTAGGATATAAACCTATAAAGGTGTCCTTCCTCCCCTCTCTCCTAAGAGGGATAGAAACCAATCAGTTAATCACTGGAGGCAAATCTAAACCCTCAGTCCACGCTGGGCGCAGTGGCTCATGCCTTTAATCCTAGCACTTTGGGAGGCTGAGGTGGGTGGATCACCTGAGGTCAGGTGTTCAAGACCAGCCTGGCCATCATGGTGAAACCCCATCTTTAAAACATATATATATATATGGCCGGGTATGGTGGCTCACAACTGTAATCCCAGCACTTTGGGAGGCCAAGGCAGGCAGATCACGAGGTCAATCAAGACTATCCTGGCCAACACAGTGAAATCCCATCTCTACTAAAATATAAAAAATTAGCTGGGCGTGGTGGCGTGCATCTGTAGTCCCAGTTACTTGGGAGGCTGAGTCAGGAGAATTGCTTGAACGTGGGAGGCAGAGGTTGCAGTGAGCGGAGATCGCGCCGCTTCACTCCAGCCTGGAGCCTGGCGACAGAATAAGACTCTCTCAAAAATAAAATAAAATAAAAATTATATATATATTGGCCGTGGGTGGTGCCTGCCAGGAGAGCCATGGCCACTCTCCTCTTGGCACTCATCCAGCTTCACATTTCTTCCGTGAAATCAGAAAACGTCACTCGAGCTTGTAGCCTCATCCGGGAGGCAGCAATGCAAGGAGCCAAAATAGTTTCTTTGCCAGCTCTATCCCTGAAGAGGATGCTGGGAAATTATATAACACCTGTACTGTGTTTGGGCCTGATGGAACTTTACTAGCAAAGTACAGAAAGGCTGCCAGCCCATTGGGAGCTGCTTCAGCGAGGCAGGGGTAGGTCCTAGCCAAAGTGGGCACAGAAGAAACAATCGTGTATTCAGACATAGACTTGAAGAAGCTGGCTGAAATACACCAGCAAATCCCCATTTTTAGACAGAAGCAATCAGACCTTGTACAAATGATGGCACGTGTTTGTTAATAAACTTCAGTTTCTTTTGTCAGTCTAGTTTACAGAATTGCAGCCTATGATTGGTTAAAAAAAAAATGGCCAGCACCGTGGCTCACACTGGTAAACCCAGCACTTTGGGAGGCTGAAGTGGACAGATTACTTGAGGCCATGAGTTTGAGACCATCCTGGACAATATGGTGAAACCTTGTCTCTACTAAAAATACAAAAAGTAGCCAGCCATGGTGTCACATGCCTGCAATTTCAGTTACTCGGGTGGCTGAAGCATGAGAATGGCTTGAATCCAGGAGGTAGAGGTTGCAGTGAGCCAAGATCACACCACTCGCCTCCAGCCAGGGAGAGGGAGTGAGACTCTACCTCAAATTTAAAAAGAAAGAAGGTCATGCCAAGTTAGAAACACACATCAGCTTTGACTTGAAGAGTCATGAATGGGCAATACACTAAATGGGCTGTATTATATTCTAGGCCTATAAAAACTAACACTTTGCATGTCTTGTTGGCATTTTCAAGGAGCACTTTTTTTTTTAAGATTTGAGCATTTATCTGAATCTGTTATGAAACCGTTCTTTGTGAAATTGGCTGGGATACTTTGTTTTCCTTCATAAATTTGCAAACATTCTTGATGTGCGTCTGAACTTGGCAAACAATCAATTTAAATACCAAAGTATTGAAATTCTATTTTCATAATGTAAATGTTATAATTTAAGATGGTTATAAATAAGGATGCGTTCCCTGCGCACAGACCGTGGACCCTAAAACTGAGCCACAGATCTTGTCCATAGGATTCAGCAAGTTCTTGATCCATGAT